CATTCTTTAGACTGGTGGATAAAATCTTTTAACAGATTAATTTGAATGCCTCCATTGTACTTTGAATGCTTGTTTGTGTGAAGCTTCTTCTGTAACGGAACTCAGGCTGCTCCTCATGGTTTAAAACAACTTCACACTGCTCCATTCCCTATATCATCAGTTTCCAGACCTTTTAACCGCACTAAGGTCATTTGCACCTTAAATCAAGATCAGCTCCCCTACTGAAGGGCGATCCAAGTAATGAACTGCTCGGCGACTTCAATACCGCCTCTTACAGCGTCTAACTTAACGAAATTTTTATTATACAGTCACTTCTCCATTTCACCTAATGCTAGTGTGAACTAAACATCTAAAGGAAAAATAAGTAAATAAAACTTACAAGGTTGAGTCCTTTGTTATTAAAGGGATAGGATACATTTGGGAAGTCACCTGTCATTTTGAAAGGAGTGAATTGTGGATGCAGTAGTGATGAGACCCGCGATGTGTGCCTCCCTAATTACCAGTTTGATACCGATGTGCCAATTGTGTACACCTCGAAAGGTGGCAATTTACGGTGTTGCTATGTCGTCCCCCCCCCCTCCTCCTCAAACATTTAATCAAGCCTAAATTTAGACATACCAAAATACTGACCTCTTGAAAAGCCGTACCCTAGGTAATATTTAGGATCCTTCTCCTGTTTATGCATCAAATTAATCGGAAAGCATAAAAGATAATGTAAAAGCTAATTAGCGGAAACAATTTTGTTGACGCGTTAAGTTATTTTGTGAGCCTCATCCTATTTACTCTGAATAAATTCACGGTTTACGTATTTGAGCCTTGCTAATCGAGCTGATGTAACGCTTAAGCGAGCTGAACCGCGATTCAAAGAATTTATGGTTTAGGCCTTTGACATTACCTAGTTTAGCGTAGACAATTCGTAATTTAGGTAATACTTGCTTTCATACAAGGAAGAGCCTCACGAATGGAAAAATTTGTGTTTCACAGATTTTGAGGCGAGATTTAAAAGGAACCTATTTAGAGCCTTGACGAGGATACATTTTCCACAAGCTTATAAAGCCAGTTCATCAGCTGTATGTATTTAAAAACACCAATAATCTACAGCAGGAACAGCCATGTGATATGTAGGGTGGTCTTGAAGGCCTATAGTTTAGTTTAGTCTAAGAAACATAATAATGCGCATAGCAGTGTGGTAAACAATAAGCGTTTTGAGCATTGGTCCTGCCATGAAGGGAGAAAGGTTAATACCTTGGTGACCAATTTACGTTTGCCATCTTTTTGACTGGGGTGGATTCAACGGGCGCCTCCTCCCTTGCCAGCTCAAGTTTGTGCAGGTAGTGGTAGCAATTGTGAGAGCAAACAAAATGAAGAGCGAATTCACTGGCGTCCTGCATACATTCGCCACACCGTGAACAAGTGTAGTCTTCTTCTTCTGCGTGTAGGGATCGGTGAATATTGTACATAATGGGATCCGTGAAGTAAATTCCGCATGCAACGCATTGGTGTAGGTCCTTAATACTGAGTGTTCCACTTTGACCATTTGAAGTGTTGTGTGGTGCCGTATTTTCTTGACCATGAACATCCACACTAAAAGTCAGGCAGCTAATAATAATGACTTTGGAACCCCTGAGAGCACAAAACACAAACGCGCATATGGATTTGGTTTTAATGCAAACATTCATAACTACATGCAAGTCTCACCATCCGTTTTCAGTTATACTGTGTGACTCCAATGTCTCATTTACCGGATTTTCGCATTGGAGGCCACCTTCCCCATTGCCTTGCCCATCAATCCGCGAGCTTGACAGATCCTTAAGAATATTCAAAGAATGAAAGTTAGGAAGGTTACAAATTGGAAGTATACAGGCGCGTGTAGAGAGCCACATACTTCCGGCTCTTCTGCGTTTTCACATACATCCATTGACGTCTCTTTTTCAACTTTTTGTTCTGCCTCCGGTTGCATAACCTGGTCATTGAATGGATTATTTTGGGATAAGAAGTTTTCAAAGAGCATTCTAAATGCTCCTTCAAAGAGGCTTGGATTTACTAGCTGTTCTGATTGTCGAAGGAAAATGTGATCCAGGAGATTTTGTGGCGGTACAAGTGGTAAGGTCATTAGAGCATTCGTTCCATTTAGTGGCGGTGGAAGCCTAGAGAGATGCGGAACTGATGGTAAAGAAGAAGAAATGCTCCTTGAAGGCGTAGGTGGGAGTAATGGTTGGGGAATTCGAGCGTTTCCAAATTGTGCCTGCCTTTTGGCTACTTTGCAAGTTGCGTAATGCCTCTTAAGGGTGCCATTTTGTGTGAATGCTTTATTGCAATGTATGCAAACGTAGGGCCGTTCACCTGAAACAAAAAATAGCAAAAAATAAATATCCTTCAACTTATATACTGCCTCGCCATACATTGAATATTTAGGAATAGGTGAAGTGCAAATAATCCAGGACACAAATCAAGGCTGTTTACAATTTGACATGCCTAGCGTGCGCGACTAGGATCTGTCACCTCATTACGATGAATGTCATGATGTTATTCAAACTGGAAGTCCATTCCCACCAGGATACCGAATAGGAGCTAGCAACACGAGTGTCACATTGCAGAGCATATTTCAGCTGAACGCAAATAATGTACTCATCTCTAACCCCGCGGGCTGCCGCCACTATTTGGCAACCTTAGGACAAATTAAGCTAAAAATTAGTCACATACACATTTTTGCGTTTTATGTAGAATTGCACAATATTTTCGGAAATCAAATGGTAACGATTGAAGTCAATAATTACAAATTCTCTCATGCATAACAGACCTGAGTGTTTGCGAAAGTGGATTTTGAGAGCACTTCCACAATTAAATCGCTTATTGCAGACACGACAATGTTTCCCGTCGTGACTGATAGAACCGTCGATCGAGGGCTGCACTCCACCTGAAGTCGAAGGTTGTGAAACAGGCTGCTGATGCAAAGTACTTGTGGACTCACTATTTCCACTCTTAGGACTGGTGCAGGCACTATTGTTGGACAGAGTTTCAGGTGGTGTTACCACTGACGGTCCAGTGCTGTCTGTGGCTGGCCTTGACAAAGTCGAGTCTTTCTGTTCATTTACCTTCATGAAGGCATTGAGATAATTTGAATCATATGGTAAAGTAGGGTTTGAGGGAGGAGTCGATGAGGTGTGTGAGCCCTCGCCATTATTCATGTTGGCAAAAAGTTGCATAATATTCCCGAATTTGGGTGTTACGGGCTTGTTACTGCTTAACAGATTTGCAGCTGAGAACCCTGATGATGCCAGAGTTGAGGTATTATTTAGAAGAGGTAATCCATTTATGAGAGGAGATGGTACGAGCGGTGATACTTGTGGTGTAAGTCTGGATGGTCCTGACAAGTCGAAATTCGGTGGAAACATCGGAGAGGGATCGTTTAGTGGTCCTTGTGGCAATGGGATGTGGGGAAAGTCTACGAGTGAAGATACTCTTTTAGTACTACTCAAGCAAAAAGAATGTGTAGAAAAGCATAAAACGACCTACTGCCAAGGTGGAGGTCTACCGGCGCTAAGTTGGGTAAATTTGGTCTAATATCGGGGCGCTGGATGGTCATCGGCGTATCATGCGAAGTGGACGGTACCGGGGACTCAGATTGTCCCACCTGTGGTGGTAAATTCGAATGTTTGCCTAAGCACATGGCGAAAAAAGGCGCCATCATACGCGGAAGATCTGGATAGCTTTCGGGTAAAGCTTGTGTACTATCATTGAAATGCTGACTGCTCTCATGTTCCTGTAGTTGACTTGAATGTATAAACACAAGATTGCAATATCGACATGGATAATTGCTGTTTGCGTGCGCCCTTCTGTAATGCGTTTGTATGTGTCGGTTCAAGGAGCCTGGACAATGAAGGTAACCAAATAATGGTCAGCATTTTTGATAACAATGAAAGTAGGTAGCAGTAAGATTGCATAAACTCATGCTGCTTACAATTCAGAGACCACATAAGCGCCTCAATCAAAGAGAATGGAGCATTAGCTTTTAAAAAACACAAATGCAACTCCATTAGTTAATTTGTAGAATTTATTCCGTAATTAATGAGCACTAACGCTGTTCCTGTCGAGAAGTAAGTTCGGGCTTCCTAGTTACAAGAAATTTTAACCAAGTACGGGAAGTCAACATAAAAGTATGGAGAGGTATTATTAAGTATCTTAAAAACTCACCACTCTGATTGAAAGATTTTTGACAGATTTTGCATACATAAGGTTTTTCTCCGGTATGTATCCTTAAGTGCACCTTAAGTATGTTTAGGAGACCAAAGCCCTTCTTGCAAAACTCGCAGTATAAATTCTTTTTTGAACCTGATTTCGACTTTGTCCTTGCTTTTGATGTAGAAGGCTGATTGTCGGAATCGTTTTCATTAATTGTCTCACTGTTCTCTGAAGGAGTTATTACCGTCGATCGAATGTCATCGTTGTCATCCATCTGAGAGGGAGTTGGGTTAGAACGAACACTGTCCAATGTACTAATAGCATATGGCATGGGACTGTCTTCTTGATTGCGAGACATGATCGGCGGTGTTGAATTGGCTCGTCTCTTCCCTGACAAATGCTTAACACCTTCGATGTGCTCGTTATTAGCCCGCTCGTCCATATCAGACTGCGAAATGAGTGAGTACCTTTTTAAAAATCAGTTTTAAGCTACCAAATGTTTGAGCTTGAATCTGATTGGTTTCTCATGCGTCCAAGTTCGGACATGATGCTGAAGTTAGCCAATCCCCAAAAAGGGCGCTAGCGTTGCTTGGCTTTACGTGAGCACATTTGCACTCACGTGCGCAGCGCGTGCGCTTCTCCATAGAATAGTTTGCCGAGTCTATTGTGCCCTAAATTGGCCACATCTATTTCGTGAACCGCAAGACTACTGCATTGCTATAAGGTCACCATCTCGTTTCCACAACCTATTCTCGTTCGTTTTTTCAGAGTCGTTAGATTTTTAGGACATCGGGGTAAAACAATAGTGTAATGAGCTATCACCTACAGATGAAGAGTAGTTTTGTTGCTAAGTTTAGTTTTCTTAAGCACGATATATATTTCTAGGAAGCATAATCATTAACTTTCTTGTTTCTAAATTTGAGCAGAGAGCAAATGCAAACCTTAAAGGCAATGCATTTTTTAGGCTGCATGTTTAATGCTGATCGTTGTTTTAAGAGTACAGGTTTAGGACTATTATATTGTATTGGCAAGAACGATTGAAACCTATACCAACTACTCTGACTTGCTAAGAGTGGGAAAGATGCATGTGCCGCATTAAGAGGAAGGAAGTCAAAATTTCGAAAAGAACATAAATGTGCGTTTTGACCGCGCATCAAAATGAACACTGAGTAGATTGTAGTTCCC